TAATCCCTGAACCACATACCTAGCCCTTTTTTAGATTTTATTTTAAGACAAGGTCTTGCTAAATTACTTAGGACCTTGATAAATAGTTGAGGCTGGCCTTGAACCTTTGATCATCCTGCTTCAGGCTCTCTAGCTACTGGGATTATGCTTTTTTTTTTTAAGTATCATTCTACATATGCCACTTTTCCTGTATGAAAAACTACAAATTAGCTACCCACTACCTTTCTTGTCCCAGGGAAGTTTACAATTTTAATCTGATTACAAAAGAATTTTTTTAAAGTTTTGATTAGCAAACTTTGATCTGGCTGCAAAATAGAGAGATATTCATTGTAAAAATTTTCAAAGAAAGCAAAATCACAGAATTCTAATGCCCAAAAGCGATTGCCTTCTGAAAGTTAAGACATATTGATAGCACATACCAGGGAAAAAATAATAACTTTTTAAAACTTCCTTAATCCCTATTAAGGTGGATTGTATCATTGTCCAAAATATCTGCTGCCCCACCTTGGGGGAGAATAAAACTTCCTTCTCTCTGCAGCAGCCTTGAGTCTGTGACTTGAGCCCTTCCTTGAGGATTGAATATCTACTCCACCCAGTTGACCTCAGGAGTAATCATGACATTTGCTTTGACAATGCAGTGACAACAGAAGTGATGTGTGCCATAGCTGTAAGAATCATCACATGGTTATACCATTCTTTCTCTCCCATGTAATCAAAAGTATCCCAATAGAGACTGCAGCATCAGTCCCAGAGTAGAGCTCAGAGTAGAGCTGCAGAGAGCCCACGAACTGGACTTGGGTCACTGTAACCCACTGAGACGGTTGGAGTCGCTTGTTAACACAGAGTAACTTAGCCTACTCTGATACACCTACATGCAAAACGTCCACTGAATCCTTTAATGTCTTCAGAGATTTTGTGCAAAAGAAATAAATACTTGCTTGCCACTTATATTTCATACATTTATATTTTAAAACAATTTTGAAGTTTTAAAATTTGTGTTATCTTATTTACAAACCCATTAATTTTGCTAATAGTTTATCACCTAATTTTACATTTTGTTTATTGGAGTTACCTGGGATTGAACCTAGGGGTGCTCTAACACTGAGCTACATGCCCAGCCCTTTTTATTTTTTAATATTGAGACAGGATCTTGCTAAGGGCCTAGCTAATGTATTGGGGCTGTTCTCAAACATGTGATCCTCCTGCCTCTGCCTCCTGAGTCTCTGGGACTATAGGCATGCATCACTGCACCCAGCTAAATTTTATGTTTTGATGAATTCCCAACTGGCTTACAAATTTGAAAAAGTACACCTAAATATTTATCAAACTTTTAGTTTTAGAAATTCCAAATTATTGGGCTGGGGATGTGGCTCAAGCGGTAGCGCGCTCGCCTGGCATGCGTGCGGCCCGGGTTCGATCCTCAGTACCACATACAAACAAAGATGTTGTGTCCGCCAAAAACTAAAAAATAAATATTAAAAACAATTCTCTCTCTCTCTCTCTCTCTCTCTCTCTCAAAAAAAAAAAAAAAGAAAAAAGAAAAGAAAGAAAGAAAAAAAGAAATTCCAAATTACAATAAACCTTTAACTGATTTTCTTCAGACCTTCGAAAAGCCAAATTAGTCTTACATTTTCTAATATAATTAAACTCTTACACTTAAAACTAAAATGTTTATTAAATCTTACTAAACCCCAGCACACACAATCTAAATGTAATACTATCATTTAAACATTGGAACACTGTCTCCAAACTTGATTATCTGTATCTTCTTGAGTTTCTGCTAATATGTCAGTCTCTATGCACCTTAAAAAAATAAGAAACAGTACACAAAATAATACAATGATTACAAAATTTCTTTCTAGATAAAATTCCTAACTAGACATAACTTAACTTGTCATCAAAAGTCTTTGAAAGTATTTTGTGTTCTGGCAATAACAAGATATTCCAAACTCATTTTGGTATTTCCTGTCCTAAAACACAAAATATACTTTTTTCGAGTCCAGCCCCTGCTCTGGACTTTTGGTTGGAATGTAGATGAGACAGGTCTGTGAAGCAGCCCCTGGAGGCCACAGAGGGGAAAGAGAGAAATTCACAGTAATTTTTGGCCTGACATTGTGAGCGGAACCAACATTCCAGTGTTCAAGTCCATGTACCACATCTGTTAGTCAAATGCAATTCCTTCCGGACATTGCAGTTATACAAATATAGGGAAGCCAGATGGAAGCTCTACCTGGGAGAGCAAAGATGGCCTGAAGGGCAAAGTTGGGGGTGGGTAGACAGTGAAGAGAAGGTGGGAAAGGGAACTGGAGAGGAGAGATCTGGCTGCTTCTGTAAGAGCAAATGCACTAGGTAAGGATTTTAGGAAAAGTTGGCCCATTTTCCCCATGTGTAAAAATGTGAATTAGAATAGAAACATCCATAGGACCATTGTGAGAATTACACGAGACACACATTAAGTGCTCACCAAATGCTAGCTATCATTAATTTTACTTTATTCAGCTGGGCCTCCAGAATGGACTAGAGCTAGAGACATTTTTAAGGAAATCCAGAAAGGCCATTCAGTTTTGTCCTCCCTTCCTCCCTCATTCACAATTGCTCCCCTGCACATCTGTTTTAATCCTCTGAATTCCTGAAAATTGGCTTATTGTGTCCATGATGCCTAAAACAGTCACTGACAACATCTTTTTAGGTTTTCTCAATTCCTTCATTCAAGTCAGCAGCCAGCCTAAAGCTGCGCTCTTCCAGTTCCAAGTTCAGATTTCTAAGGAGAGGCTGCCCAACCTGATGGAAAATCCACTCCTAGACCAATTAACCGTAGCTACAACCAGGCTGCTCCTGTTAAAAATGTGGAAACACATCTCAAAGTAGAGGGGGGGCGGTCCTGTGAAAATAAAATGAACTTGGGCACACTTCCTGCATGCGTGTGCGCACATATGCACTTCACACACGTGCAAGCTGGATTGCGCTACAGTTTTCTACATTGTTTTCCATTTTACAACATAGAATGATACAATTTTCTATGACACTATTTTTATTGTATCACTTTGATGTATAGGTGTGAATCTTAATTCTATTATTTTTGCTTTTACACACACTGTAGGATCTTCTTATAACAAAATAAGAATTGTGTTAATTGACTAGACTTAATTTCTTAGGGAAATTCTTTGAATTGGAATTGCCAGGGCCAAAGGTGTGTTATTTGTAAAGAGTTCTGATACACTCTATTAAGTGTGTATTAAGGCAATCTAAGCCACTCACACAACACACACAAATGCCATTTTCTTTCTTTCTTTTTTTTTCCACAAATGCCATTTTCAACAACATAATCTTTTAAGTTAAAAATTACTTGCCATTTTGGTGAAACAAAATGAACATTATTTTTATGATTATCAATTACCTGTTCTATTAGAATAGATATTAACCCTTTATTGCTTAAATTGCTTAATTTTTCTGACCCATCATAACCTTGACATAGTTGTAGTTTTTTTTTTGTTTTTTGTTTTTGACGTGGGGTGAGGGGGGCGGTTTTCTCTTTGGATCAAACCCAGGGCATCGAGTACGCTAAGTACATGCTCTTCCATGAAGTTATATCCCCAGTCCTTCATATACTTTTTCAAGTTTGAATACCCAAATCTCTGCTTTCCAGCGCCTAACTTTATATATGCCTACAGGGTATCATCCTGTACCTCCCAACCACCCCATTCCAAACCTCACTGCCCAATTGCATAGATTTTAGACATTTCGATGGGCATTTAAAGCCCTTCACAGGGCACCAAAATTTCTCTAGCATTATCTTCCATTACAGTCATTCACAAATCCTTCTTTTGCTTATTCATTTATTCACCACCTATTTTGAACAGCTATGATATGCCTGGTGTCATTCTAGATGCTGGAGACATTGGAATAAATATAATAGATAAAAATCCCTGCCCTAGTGAACAAATAAGAAAATGAATAGTAGGTCAGATGGCGATGAATATAGCAAAGAACAGAAAAGCAGGGAGGTGGACTAAGGAATTGGAAGAGGGTAAAATCCTAGAGTGGTCAGGGTGTACTCCACTGAAAGGTAATATTTAAGCAAAAGAGTGAGGATGGTGAGAGAACCAGCATAGTAGCAGCAATCCCAGTGAGACATGTTAAAATAAGGGAGAGTACCTGCGGGAGCCAGAGGGGGACACACATCTTATAAGCATGAACACCAGTAGGGAATCCAGTAATGCTGAGTCCTAGACGGGCAAGATCATGTAGGGTTTTGTGGGCCCCTGTAAAGACCCTGGCTTCTCCTTTGAATGAGACAAGAAGCCAGTTAGAGGGTATGGGAAATTATGTTTCCCAAGATAGCTGTTAAAATCTCACACCTCACAGTCTTTTCCATGATGACCTTGCTACTTCTCTAGGAAGAGAACAGGTGGATGGATAAAGAAAATGAGGCATACATATGATACAACACTATTTAGCCTCAAAAGGGAAGGGACTCTTGCAACACGTAACAATTTGTACGAACCTGGAGGACACTCTTAAGGGAAATAAGCCAGACAGAAAGATGAATATCACATGATCTCACATATGATATCTTTGAAAAGTCAAACTCATAGAAGCACAGAGAACTGTGGTTACCCAGAGGATTGAGATAGAGTTGGGTGATATTAGTCAAAGAACACAAACTTTCATTAAAACAGGAGGAATAAGTTCAAGAGATCCATTGCATAACATGGTGACTATTGTTAATGTATACTTAAAAATTGCCAGGAAGATTAAGTATTCTCACCATAAAAAGAATATGTATCTTAATTAGCTTAACTTGACCATTCCAGAATGTATACCTGTTTCAAAACACCTTATTTGATACCATAAGTATATACAAGTTTTATTTGTCAATTAAAAAAAAATCAGCAGACACACTATAAGGCCTGATTAACATGTGAATCAATACCTTTGGAAAATATTAACTGAAGGACTTGAATTATATGTATCTAACAGAAGGAGAAAAAATACCATGGTTTTCAATTTTACCTTTTATTAAAGTACAGAGTTAACAAGTTTTGCATTTTCTACATAGGAAAAGACTGATCAACTTCAGATGCTGTATAGAAAAATTAGCATTCAAAAAACAAATACAAATTCATAATCGGCTTTGTAACTAAAAGGAAAAATAGCTATTTCAAAAGTTAGCAAAACCTAACCATATCACAGACCTTTATAAACTTCGAACAGTAGATTTACCACACCTATTGCAGTTTCAAATTCTAATATAGCAAAACGTAACCACAAAATTTGGCTACAGCTAATTGTTCCAAAAAAGTTTAAAAAATTAACAAAGTTATGACTATAAAATTGTTGGTTTTCTTTGCAAAATAAAAAAAGCTTAAATCTTTAATAAAGGAAGACAAAACAATCCTCTTAAATTTCTTATAAATAGCTCTCAAGACATATATTACGCATCTGTTGTAAGCTTTCTTTACCTGAGGGAATTTCCCAGGATCCTTTATCACAAAGGATTACCTTTGAACAGTTCTATCATTTTATTCACATGAATGATTAAACTTCTAAGGAAGTGGATTTGGACATACGCATTCTTAATCTTCCCTTCCCCAATTAAGTTTTTTTCTGAAAGGATTTCGTTTTAAAACAAAACCAAAAAGCTTCTTTGGTAAAAGCCAAATATTTCAACCTTTCAAAAATGACGGACTCTGTGAATATCTACTGAAGAAGAAAGATCTAAAGATCCGTGTGAATAGCTCTATCATCCCATGAAGTCACAGGTCCAACCTGAGAGAACCCTTCTCTGCCTGAAATGTAAAACTCAGCTTATTCGCAAGATGCAGAGAACATCCCATGGAAAATTCCATGAGCCAAGAGGCTACCTGCACTGTCCTTGACGGAGGAGGGTCCACTGGTCTTTCTAGGTGTTCAGGTTCTTATTAGCTCAAGGCCAGAACCCTCTTGGTTGGGGGCAAAGCCCTCTTTCAACTACAAGAGGTGTAGGATGTGAGTGTACAACAAAACGAGATCTTATTCAGAAAGGCAAGAGAAAGAGAAAAAAAGAAAGCCCAGGAAGCTTAAATACATGCCCTGGAATTCCCTTCACAGGATAACATGAAGCACCAATGATGGTAAACTGTCTGGCAAAAATTAAATAAGAACGTCATCTTAAAAAGGCAGAGAACAACAATTTGGGGAGAGGGGTGATTAACTGGAGGCTGAGGTCATTCACAGTGAAGGATCCTCTGAGGAACTGCAAGTCCTCAATGTGGGAACTCCCTTGCTGGCCATTACTCACTGGAAACAGAAACCCTAAGAGTCCCAGTGACTCCACCCTCCCTCCCGCCTACACCCATAGTCTATCTACTCAATAAACCTCTGGCAAACAATTTGTAGACAATTTCCCAAGAAACTGTGAAGACAAAACCATAACCAACCAACTAGTATTACAAAAGCTCAACTCAGTAATGACATGGCAGGTTTTCTGAAGACTTGAGATTTAGAAGATTGTCTCTCGTCTTCATTCAGGTTACATGTCTACCTACAGTGACACTCCCAGGAGTCTCCCTCATGAAAATGAGAGGGAGAAATTTTCCACATCAGATGAATGGCACAGGGGAAACAGACGCACAGTCTCTTAAAATCTTCAGCTTTCATCTCCAGAGGAGCCTGACCAGCAGCTTCAGGAAAGGCACCTTTGTAATCAGGTACAAAAACTTGGAGGAAGCAAAAGTCTGTTATTTTTTTAAAAGACATCAGTGAGTTAAATGAACACCACTGTTATTGCAACTGAAGCAACTGGCACAATTTTTCCAGTTTCTTAAGTCTCAATAACACAAAATGTAGTTTTTTTTTTTTTTAAACTATCAATGTTGATTCATCACCTGAATATTGTTTCTCATTGTTCATAATCATTAAAGTTGACTTCTTGTCTCTACACCCTAGGTTCTCAGAGTGCAACCATCTATCTGTGGCCATCCCAGAACCTTGCTAACACTGTCAGTTGAAAATAAAAATGAGAAGGACCTTCATCAGACCTTCAGAGGAGAACACTGTGCCACAAACCAAGAGTTGTGCGGCTACACAACGGGGGTGGGCTGGGCTGGCTAAGATGGAAGCTGTGAGGGGCATTATCTTCATTTATGTTTCTCTGAGCCTCTTTCTACAGAACAAAGGGGCCAACAAAGGCCAGCCCAGGATGCATGGCCTTGTCAGCAGGACCCTGACCTGGCGTAAGGGTCAGTTCTAAAGTTACCCCAGCTGGCTGCCAGACCCACATGGGAAGACAAATCAAGAACTCAACTAGATCTCTGCAGGAAGAAATTCAAGGAAACTGCCTGTGATTCTACCTTGGCTATTAAAGGGCTTCTTATGGTGTTTCCTAAGGGTGACCTTGGCTGACCGAGAGCCCCCAGGTCACTGCACCAGGCACTGAAGTGGCCTCTGCCAGGGGGCTGCCACACACAGCCTCATTTCCTAGACTGTCACTAATTCATGGAGCTTGCTCTCCAGTGGCTTCACTAGAGTCACTCAGACTTGGTGTACAACTGTTCAACTGTTTATTTGGTGACTTTGGATGCAGCTTTGAACTGCTCAGCATGGAGTTCTGCCCTACAAAAAAAAATATGCATACACTGACATAGGCATACATTAAGGGCCTTTTAAGACTGAATCTCAAACACTATAAAAAAGGCAAATTCCTAAAGGAATTCACTCCTGTCTTTGCTTCCTCCTTGGTATTTTTTGAGAAGACGGCAAAGGAGTGAGTAGAAAAGAAAAATCTGAGTAATTTCCCCCATTAGCACGTTGGCACATGGGAGCCAGGTTTAGGTGAGACTCAGTTCTACTCAACTCATACAGAGGGGCACAGAAAAAGGGTCTACCAAGTCTTCCAGGAGGTTCAAAAAGAGTCTCATGGCATTTCCACTGGTGTGAACTCAGGGATTGAACTTAGGGGTACTTGGCCATTGAGCTACATCTCAGCCCTATTTTGCATTTTACATAGAGACAGGGTCTCCTGACTTACTTAGCGCCTCACTTTTGCTAAGGCTGACTTTGAACTCATGATCCTCCTGCCTCAGACCCACAAGCCGCTGGAATTACAGGCATGCACCATTGCGCCTGGGTCCACTGGTGTCTTTACTGGAGTTACACTGAACAAACCTCCTCCCTGATAAGAACATCCAATACTGAAAATGTACATCTCACATAGCTGCCAAAAGTCAATTCTCGTTTTACTCTACAAATATGTATTTTGGAAATTTCTCTAGCTGTTGTTTATGGCTTAATTAAATATCCCCAACCACCCACCTCTTCTTCTAAGGATATTTAGTTACTCCACAGCTTCTAACAGACTTGTCTGGTCAGCCCTGTTTGAGAGGCCACCTGGGATTTTCACCTCAGCAAATCTACTCCAAGGAAATGAAACCACAATGGACATTAATAGTGTGGTCACATTACAAATTCAGGAAACAAAAGCTCTTTTGCTTTTATAATTTCAAAGGCTTCACGGTGGAGGAGAAGCTGAGGGGCTAACCTTTACACTTGAAAGAGGGGTGCAGCAGATTTCAGCCAAGAAGAAACTTTTTGTTAAGGTCCTTAAAGTATTATTAATTATAGCACGAACAAGTAAGAACCATAGTTCTCCATCGCTTAGGCAACGAAAACATGAATGTTGTTCTAGAATCACATGAACACCACCATGGATAAGTGCCCTACTTATTGCAGTAACTTGGATCAGGTAGTGTTAACATGATGGGGAAACACATGGACAGTGATGGCAAATTGTGCTTTTCACATTATTACAAAGATGCTAAACCCAGAAAGGATGAGGGGACCTCTGGAAGGCCAAGGGCAGAGAGGGAAAGCTGTGATTCCCAGCATCACAACCACAAAGGGAAACACTTGGGGACCACGAGGAGGCAGCACTGAGGGTGGATTTAAAGACAGGTGCTTCCTCTTGTTCCCTATAAATACTAGGGAGCTGTGAGCAGAGCCCTTTGGGGAAAAGGCTCCAGGAAGTGATTCAGGAGATGAAAGTAAGAGAGACAGGGGTCTGGATTCTCTTGGGGGCTGGAGACTCAACATTTTGCTTGCTTTTTAATTCCAAGAATGGGAATAACAGGTCACACAAGATAATTTTTATCCCTGTAAAAAGATGTTATACCATTCTTTTGGTGACAGCATATCCAAGTACCACTACCCAGTTCCTAAGGGTAAGACATAAAAATGCATGTATCACAAGTTCAGGTTGGTTGGAAATCTCAATTTCTTCAGGACAAATTGGTAGTTTCTTTCTGAATTTCAGAATTAAAAAAGCTCATCTGGGTTTTTTGTTTGTTTGTTTGTTTTTTCCTTATCCCCCTGAAAGCTTTTTCAGACACATTTAAAATAGCCAGGGGATATCAGCTTTTCATAAGGCGCCAGTTGCTGCTCAGACCCTGGTACACTTGTTCAAAGGACAGCTCTTCCAGCGCAGCCTGCTGAGCGAAGTGGCCAGCTGCCATCCTCACACGGAGAACTGCCTAGAGGGACAGCAGAGGGGAGCGACCAGCGTCCACAGGTACAGCAGCACGCACACCCAGCAGGAGGCCATCTTGATCCAGAAGATGGACCAGCTCCCACTGAAGAAGGTCTCGATGCTGGCACTTTCATAGCTGTTGGAAATAAGACATCCAGCCATTAGAATAGAAAGGAAATGAGGGGAGAGTCTCTGCCATTAAGGGCCTCCCTGCTTCCCGTCCTCACTGAACTTTCTTTAAAAAAAAAAAAAAAACAACCCCACTGGAGGTATAATTCACACCCATTTAGAATGCATAATTCAGTGGCTCACAGACTTGTGCATCATAACTACTATCAATTTTGTAACATTCTCATTACGCCAGACCTGCACACCCCTAGTTCCCCTACCAAGCTCAGTTCCCTGGTCCGCCTGCATTCATTAATCTATTAATCTGTCTGTATGGACTGGCCTACTCTGGACATTTCATAGAAATGGAATCATGCAGCCTCTGTGACTGGCTTCTTTTTTTCTTAGCTTATTGTTTTCCATGCTCTTTTCAGGATGTAGTATGTACCAATACAGGTTGAGTATTCCTTATCTGAAGGCTTGAACCACAAATGTTTCAGAGTTTGGAGTTGTCTCAACTTGTTTGATAACTTACGATAGACAGATTTTGGAATATTTGCATGGACATTACTGGGTGAGCATTATTAATCTGCAAGTCCAAAATCTTAAATGCACCAAAATAGGAAGCTTTTTGAGTGTAATATTAGATTTCAAAGCATTTCAGATTTCTGAATTAGGGATGCTCAACCTTGCTTCATTCCTTGTTACAACTATATAATATTTCATTATATAGACTTGGCATATTTTTTAATCATCAGTTGTTGGACATTTGGCTTATCTCTGACTTTACACTGTTATGAATTATGCTGACATTAATATCTGTGCACAACATTTTAAATGAATATAATTTGCGGGGGGGGGGGGGTACTGGGGATTGAATTCAGAGGCACTTAACCATTGAGCCACATCCTAAGTCCTATTTTGTATTTTATTTAGAGACAGGGTCTCACTGAGTTTCTTAGCACTTCACTTTTGCTAAGGCTGGCTTTGAACTCGTGATCCTCCTGCCTCAGACCCCTGAGCTACTGGGATTATAGGTGTGCACTACCGTGCCCAGCCATAATTTTCTTTTTGTCTTTTGTTTTATACTTCAGAATGGAATCACTGGATCATATTTGTGTTTAACCATTCTAAGAACTGTCAAAATATCTTCCAAAGCAGCTTCATTTTACATTTCACCAGCAACACAAGAGGGTTCCAATTTCTCCAAATCCTCAACAACATTTGTCGTTATCTGCCTTTGTTAGTACAGCTCTCTTCACCCTTTCTTCTGCATCCCAAGTCAAAATTCCCCAGGAATTCTCAAAGCATCACAGGGAAGCATTACAAGTTCCTTCCCCTCCCTCATGGAGACATTCGGGGATGGCAGGCATGGTGATCCCAGCTACTCAGGAGACTGAAGACCACAAGTTTAAGGCCAGCCTGGGCAACTTAGTGGGAGCCTTGCTCAAACTAAAAACTAAAAAGCTCAATAATGGAGCATCCCTGAGTTCAATACCAAGTATCACATACACGACAAAGGGATGTTCGGGAAGAATATCCTCAAAGAAGTCTTTTCCTATCAATGGGTCTGAAACTTCACCCCCACCCGACTGGTATTTTTCATCCCCTTGCCTCATTTTAGTTTTATACCCAGTGCGCCTCATTTTATGACACTGTAATTGACTTGAATCATGATGTGTCTCTCCCACTAAGCTATCAGTCCTGCTACCTATGGCAGGGTGACACAGAGGATCCATTTTCTGAATCAAAGACAGTACAGAGAGCCTGCTATCTTTCTAGTGTCTATCCTAAGTTATCAAACAAATTGCGAAACAACGGAAACTTTGGAACAGTTTGAAAAGTATGAATTTCCACATAGTAACAGAGAAAGTCAGGTCTGTTACATAGCAATAACTTAAAAACTAGAAAAAAAAAATCAGTACAGTGGCACATGCCTGTAATCCCAGCTCCTCAGGAGGCTAAGACAAGATCATAAGTACAAGGCTAGCCTGAGCAACTTAGCGAGAACCTGTCTCAAAATAAAATTTAAAAAGAGCCAAGGATGTAGTACCCAGTAGAGAGCCCTGCATTCTATCCTAGTACTGCACAAAGAAAAAAATAAAAAAGAGACAACATTTGAAGTAGGAAAAACAAAAAAAGGATATTTTCTTCTTTTAAAAAAAGTATTTTCCTCCATTGCTATTACTGTGTTTTTTAATCAGCCTTGTGGAGTTCATCCATTATTTCTCTTTTGTTTTGTTTCTGGGTGCTGGGGATGGAATCCAGGGACTCTCACTCTACCTTTGAGCTAGACCCCCACTAACCTTCCAACTCTTAATGCTGCAGTAAGCACCACCAATTCCCAGGGTGAAAAGGACGCTGATCAACAGGTAAGGACTGTTTGTTCTTAAGGCTATGGGTACAGCAAGACCTGGAGAAGGGTTTAGTTCCTCCAGGAAGTCTGAGCTACATCCTGGCACTTCAAAAAGAACAACACTTAACTTAATTTTTTGAATAATCAAGTGGGTCACTCACTGGAACCAGTTGGTAACAGTCATCATCACATACAGGGAAGCCAAAAAGAACACGAAGTGGAAATAGGAATAGCTGTAGACAGTGCCTCTCTTCTCATCATAAATGACCCGAGGTCCCTCTTTCACATTCTGCTGCTCTTCGGTATCTGCAAATCACAAAGGGGGCCCAAGCGAAGAGAGTCAACATGAGCACACCTCCGGTCTTAGCACTCATTTCTGTCCCAGTAGCTGCTGAGCAGAAAAAACTATCCAGAGCCATCTTTCCCCCCACCCTCACCCCATAACTCCCTTGATCAGAAGAGTCACCAAGCACCATGTTTATGTTAGCAGAGCAAAAGAAAGAGAGCCCTTAAAGACATAAAGCATATTAGAAGCAGAAAGGGAGAGAATAGCCTCTGGGATCCTCCCTTCCAAAAGAGCAGTAGTTCAAGGAACAAAATGGCCCTAAAATGAAATGTCAGGACCTCTTGGATTTTCCAAATCCTTCCTTTAAAAACTGTATGTTCCACTTTTCTAAGTCTTATTGTATAAGTTAACTTCAATACGAGTCAGAATACAGACTGATTTTCCCCACCAGAATATCAACACAAACAAAGCTCCTTGAGGAAGAATGAGAAAGTATCGTGGAACAAAAATTTCCCCCTTACTGTTCAGGACATTAATATCTGGATTGCAAATGCCTACAGTGAGAGCTGCGAGCCCACAGGGCCCAGGGACACACGGAATGAGAGTATGCCACTTACCCACTCCATCAGGCCCGAAGCAGAAACAACACCGAGCTACCTGGGAAAGCAAACGAAACACAGTCAGACGCCTGGTTTTTGCTTGCTATTTCCTCATCAGTAAAGAACTAGGGGACACCCATGTGCCAACCCTGCCCTGCTGGAACCATGGCTTAGGCCCTGAGCTACACACTTCATCCTCTCAGAAGAAATGATTAAGCACATGCTGTTTCCCAGATAGGCCAGGTTCTGGTGACTGGAAACACCATGGACATGGAGATGTGTCACCCAGACCTCCTCAAAGGGCTTGGTGCTCCCCCCACTGAGTGCTGGGAATAGAGCCTCCAGATAACAGTTCCCTAATACTGCAGGTCGGCAGCAGATCTGTCCAGCCCCACAGCCAGCGCCTGCCCACAGCAAGCCCTATCTGGGCTTCCCCCAAGGAATGATAGACCAAGCAGGCAGAGAAGAGCCTGCTATTAGAACCATCAGAAAATTAGGACCCCCAGGAACAACATGCTCTGGGTCATACGAGCACCCTCTGGGGTTAACGAGGCTTTTCCAGCCTATACTGCCCTTCAACTTCACCCTCTGCCCAACTCTGCCACCTCATAAGACAAGAAGTCCCCCTCTTCTTACACTCCCTGCTAGTATGACCTCATCAAATCCTCTTTAACCTTTGAGATTAGGACTATTATTCTGTTTACATTTGTAAAAACCAAGTTAAATAACTGGCCTGAGTCACCAAACTAGCTCAGTGTCACAGGATGGAGACCACAGGGTCTATGATTCATAATAAATGAGATAGGATACTAACAAGAGTAAAGCTGACAGAATCTGAAATGGGAAAGTTAAGGAATTTGGAAGGACAAGGCCGGTCTACATTTCCTATCAAGACAGTCTGGGAAGTGTGGGGTCATCAAAATTTTCTGGCAGAAGACATATGAAGTACAAAAAAAACAGCCAGGCCTGAGGATGTGGGCGCTCTGGACTTTGTCCTGTTTGAACCCCTCCAGGCCAAGTCCTTGTTTCCCTCCTGAGTGGTGAGTAAACATGTAATAGAGGTATCAGCCTTGACAGAGTCTTGGAGAGTGTGACCTGGTTTAAGATTCAATATGCTAATTCACTCAGTGAGCCCAAGACCCGGTAGGCTGAGGTCCTAGTTCTTTTGAAGCTTAAGTTACCACAAGAAAATATCAGCCCTTTCTTTTAAAAGGTGTATCCTGTGAAACTGGAGAACAAACTGACTTGCTCAGAGGGAAACCCACTGGGCCGTTTCCCCACAGAGTGAGAAGAACAACATCCTCTCTTAAATCTAACTTAGAGACTTGTTTTTCTTTGAGCTTGCACTCTGTACACAATAGGGACATTGAAACCATAAGCATCTAGCCTCAGCAGGTGGCCACCCAGTCAGTTGTGAGAACAAATGCCTGCCTTAGAGACCATTCTCTACTGTATAGTAGGCAGCAACCTATTCAAAGTCCTCACAGTTTTCTCCTTTAAGTGACAGAAAGAGTTGGTGAATGATGCTGGCAGAGTGACAAGCCTTCATAATAGTCCACTATGTTGGGGTCAGGTGCAGGAAAGTCCATCCCTAGACACCCAGCTGCAGAGTAAAGTGCCCATAACTGGACAGACACCAGGGCTCTTCCATCCAGAGAAAATCATTAAAATGCAGACAGTGGCTGGATGCCAGGCAAGGCCAGCAGCAAGGACCAGGAGACATCAGCTGAGCGCCTGGGCAGCATGGTCAAGAACACGGACACTGGGGCCTCAATTCGAGGTTTCTATTCTGGCAAATTGAAACCTACAAGTTTAAATGACTTAACTTTTCCATTCCCCCTGCCCCTCCCCCGACCCCCCGTGACAATGGAGATACAGTTAGCAGGTCACTAGGTTTTTGTTTTTGTTTTTGTTTTGTGTGTGTGTGTGTGTGTTTTTACAACATTTAAAAAGAAATCACATATGGAAAGCTTAGAATAGTGCCTGGCACATCAAGTGCTATCCATCCTAGCCACCAATGGAACCCTTGCTCCATGCCATTTGGGGGGTCAGGACTGAGTCTTTTCCTGGCCACCTCCATCTGCTTGACCTTTCTAGCCTTAGTGAATACCCTAGAAAGAGACTTTGACCACCTTAATTCTTGGGACATGCAGGAGAAGGAACTGATGGGCCTGAAATCAGTGCACTCATAGTTCATAATTCTTTACCCAATGACATGCCCACCTGATGGACCTGATACAGTCAGGTGAGCCCATGCATTTACCTGTTCAGTAGTGTCTGTGCAAGACACGCAGTTCCCTCACTTTCCCATCTTTCTCTCCCTTCAAAACAACTGTTACATAACCTCATAGTTACACTGCATATGTAGGGCACATCAGAGAAAACAGATGAGTGGAGCAAGAATTAACACATACACACACACACACACACACAGAATTTTATGACCAAAGAAAAATTATGCCAGTCTTTGGTGGAGGGTGGGCAGTAAGATGCTATGCAAAAGGCCAATACTATTAAAGGAAAAATTAAGAATTACTTGTTTCTTTGTGTATATGGGGTGTGGGTGTGCATGTGCTGGGTATGGAACCCAGACCCTCTGCTTGCTAAGCACTACCACTGATCTATATCCCCAATCTAGGTGATTTATTGTAATCCCATACTATATACAGGAAAGGGTGTGTGTGTATGTGTGTGTGTGTGTGTATTATTTTTTCCTGAGCAGATAAAGAGGATCATGGAATGCAGATTAATAAAGACACAAACACAAAAGACCTTCCTGAGAAGTGGATCTTGAGTTGAAGCAGGAAAAGAAACAAACTTACTTCCAGTTCAGGAGCTGCATATCGCCCCTGCAGAGCATCAGAACTTGATCTTGTTGTTGATGTCAAACTAAGAAACAAACAAAACGTCAGCAGGACATATTAACATGGTCTGTTGCCTAGAACAAGGGAAAACTGCATGGCCACTGATCCAGTGAGAGACTTACTTATAAGCTGTTCTTAAACAAAAGTACAGTTGCTGTCCTGGCCTCATCTGCAGATTAAATCAACTGCAGATCAGAAATATCTGGGGTGGTAATGTCTACGGTGAACATGTAAAAAAAGAAAAAATCCCCTTTCCTTTTTCCTTTAATAACACAATATAATAACTATTTACATAGCATTTGCATTGCATCAGGTACTATAAATAATCTGAAGATAATTTGAAGTATAGGGAGGATGTTCCTGAGTTTACCACATCATCTTATACAGGGGCCTTGAGCATCTACAGATTTTGGTATCCATCTCAGGGTGATGAAGTCCTGGAACTAATTAATCCCTACAGACACTGAGGGATGGCTGTAGTCTTTTTTTTTTTTTTTTTTTTTTTGTACTAGGGATTGAACCCAGAGGTGCTTTACTTCTCAGCTACATCCCCAGCCTTTTAATTTTTTTTTTTTTAATTTGAGACAGGGTCTCACTATGTTGCTTAGGGCCTCACTAAGTTGCTGAAGCTGACCTCTAACATGCAATTCTCCTGCTTCAGCCTCACAAGTTGCTGGGATAACAGGATGAGCCACTATGCCCTGGGGTAGTCTATTCTAATATCCCACTTTATTCCTAAACTGACTGTCCAAATTCTCCAGCTGATATCTTTTTATGTGCATTGCATTACAGCATTTTATGCAAAGGGAGGTATAGAGAAATACGATTGCCTTTTGGTACTCTATCTTGGCTTTTAGTATTGGTTTTTGCCTCTCCTCCCTCTAATGTCAAAACAATTTTCTGATTTCACCTTTATTTTTCCTTCCCTATGAGTAGTCTTACTTAGAGGGACTCAAAAGCTATGAGGGAACCCAGAGGTAGCAACAGAAAGCAAAAGTACGAAAGCAAAAGTCACAGTTATTTACTGTGATAGTCGCCTATGCCAGAAGGACATTTCCCTTTGGAAATTTAACACAGAATAGCTTTCAGCATAGTTTTAAAAAAAAAAAAAAATCTTCTCATAATTTTCCCCACATCTAGAGAGGCAAAATGTTATAAAATTTGGTTTACAAGGGTAAAGCCTTATTTTTCTCTAAAAACAAAAACACAGAAACATTTTAAGCAAATATAAATATATATAATACTTAGGGTTCCAGTATTAACTTGATAGATTCATTAGCAAATATGTAATGAAGTTCTGTTGTATGTCAGGCTGCCTTCTGAGCACTGGGACTTAGAAATAAAAAAGGCAACAATCCCGCCTCACAAAGCTTCCGAGCTTGCTCAGAGATGGGTGACAAGTGTTGCTCTCAGGAAGCTGTTTGCTAGTGGACAGGCACAGAGACTCATTTTGATCCAATAAACCCCATGAGGCAGCATGGCCTTCTTTGCTCATTTTCTTCTTTCCCAAAGAAAGATCAATGAGCTACAGAGAAACCATAAAAAACCTTGCTCACAAAGAGGTCCTCTGGGATCCACCCACTTTGCTGTTCTACAGTCCACACAAGTCCAACAGCCTCACTTTTATTTCTGCTTTGAAGTGACAGATGCTAGTGCAGGCCCACTCCATTCCCACTTCCTGACTTGGAATGCACATATCTGCCCCTGCACTTAATTTAAGAGTGCCTAATATTTGGTTCATATGAATTATGTTTTAGTATAGTATAGAGTTTTCTCAGGGGCAAATGTCATTTTGGGGAGGGGGTACTGGGGATTAAACTCAGAGGCACTCAACCACTGAGCCACATCCCCAGCCCTATTTTGTATTTTATTTAGAGACAGAGTCTCGCTGAGTCACTTAGCACCTTGCTTTTGCTGAAGCTGACTTCGAACTTGAGATCCTCCTGCCTCCGCCTCCCAAGCTGCTGGGATTACAGGGGTACGCCACCAGACCCAGCTGTAACTTTTAATTTTAGGATGAGATTGACACCTGAAATCTTCATCTGAAAGATGATAAATGAATATTCTTCAAGAGATACACTTAATTGTTAATTGTAATTCCATTTATAATTTTTTTTAATAAGACTGTTTCAGAAAGACAAAGCTTCAGATTCGAACACATTTGTCACTTCCTTTCTTCTATCAGAGAGCACCAAACATGGGGAAGGTTTTATTTTGACTTCTAAAATATTAATCTCTAGTTCATCATTTAGTGCCATGATTTCTTTTTTTTAATATTTATTTTTTAGTTGCAGTTGAACACAACATCTTTATTTTATTTATTTATGTTTATATGGTGCTGAGGATTGAACCCAAGGCCTTGCACATGCGAGGCGAGCGGTCTGCAGCCCCAGCCCCTAGTGCCATGATTTCTATAAGTAGATGTTAACATAAAATAAGGTCATAATATTCAGTCACAGCCTTTCCCCAAGTAAAACTCTCTTCTTGGAATTATCAAGAACATATTGATTTTACAAGCTCTTTAAGCTAGGAAATTCTTATTGTCTGCATGCAGGCTGCTACAAAGACCCATCTATTTGGTCAGCATAGCATAAGTAGCTATAAAAGAATCCCCAAGTTCTCTTAAGGTCTTCTCTTCCAGGGCTAAGGTATGTGTGACTTTAACCTGGAACTTCCTGAGGGAATAGGGGGAGACTAACAGCCTATGGCCCAGGCAATGCTTCATCTTCAGAAAGCATCTAACTCACTATAGCATGTTCACCATCCCAGGACCCACAAATGCCAGTAGAGCCTCACAGCCATTAAGAAATCCCTCAAAGTGTTGCCCTCCTTCCTTTCCCCCACCACTGTAGTAGGCCCAATCTCTTCCATATTGGCAGAAGGATGCACAATACAGGTTCCCCTTAGTACCTGCTTTAGTTGATTTTGGAGCCAGCCAAAGACCCTTGGGTTATTGAAAATCTCTAAGCAACATGTGCAGACTTTGCTACTAGATGTCATAAATCCTGTCCTCCCTGACAAACTCACAAGGCAGGCCTAAGAGGGATGGACTTATAGAAAGAAGCCCTGCAAATGGGCCAAGGTGAGATGGGTCCAAGTTGGGATGCTCCTTTACAGCCATCATTCCTGGGTGCAAGGGATGGGAGCTCTGGAGACGTGATGGCCACAGGTGGAGAGCCAGGAAGTAAGTTTTGGCTGAGCCCTTCTTCCTTCTTCCTAGCTGAGATGGCACTGAGTACAATCTGCTCTCAGTGACACCGCAGTAGCAGCCCTCATGAGAGAGAGAGCCCCAAAAGACTTAAGCGTCTGAGTTGTGGACCAGGGAGACTCCAGAGAGGTGAGAAGAAGAGAGCTCAGTGGGCTGAGCCTTCCAGAACTTCACAAAAAGTGAACCCCAGGCAATCTGGGCCTTGCAATGAACGCTGGTGATTTCTGTCTCCCTTTAATTTGCACACTACTCAATCTCCTAACTTCCTACAATTTCTATCAAGAATTATAGATATCTCTGCAATCATGTTCAATGTGGCCTCTTTTTGTAACCTCATCCAACCCTTCATTCTCTTTGAGCCATGGAGGAAAATGTAAACTTGAAGAAGAACTGAAAACCCCCAAATGGGCCAAGGCCCATCACTTCTGTGAGAGGCCGGTTTGTAATTTGTTTAGACGGATTTGTGATTTGTTTAGAGCCTTCTCAAAGCTGACGCCTCCTGGGGCTACAGTGAGTAATTACAGCAAACATCAATCATCAGACCCCCATATGGCACTTCACTCACTCTTGAGAGGAATAAACTGTCCATCTGCACCGAGCGTGTTCATGCCTCTGGGTTAAAGAAACATCTCACAGAGTAGGCTGGTTACCCTCAGCTCCACTTTGTGTGAGCTGCTATTTTATATCTCATCACTCCATTGGCTACTACAGTTTTACAGTTTAATTCATGGCATTTAATAAGCTTTGTTATTGGCATTTAGACAGATTTTAAATGGTAGCTGTCAGCTTTGAAAATTGACATCTTTGGTGAATATCAGATTAGCCCTGCCTGACTTCCATTGTAATGCCTTAATTTTGAAAGAGACATTTTATGTATCATCTCTCACTCAAGGGCAGATTCAAGGGTGGCTAAAAAGTGATTCTTTATGCTTACTAGAAAACCCAAGATGTGATTGAGTGAAAATTCCATGCTGTAAAATAACTCCAATTCCACGTGGTAATTTTACACAACACATTAAGTAAAATCTTTGCTATCTTTTTTTATAGTAAATTCAAATTCTATTTTGTCTAAGCGGTAAACTACCCCCCATCCCATAACCCATTGACCATCCAGCCCGGTTTTGCTCTGTAGAGTAGAACACACCTGTAATCCCAGCAGCTCAGAAGCCTCAGTAACTTAGCAAGGCCCTAAGCAACTTAGTGAGACTCTGTCTCAAAATAAAAACATTAAAAAATTTTTAAATGGCTAGGGATGTGGCTCAGTGGTAAAGCACCTCTGGATTCACCATCCAGTACCAAAACAAAACATAAGGTTTTACGTTGTAAAATACCTTTGTATTTTTTATTTTATTTTTTGTAATACAAAAATTAAAAAGATATGCTATCTCACTATTAAAAAAAAAAGCTGTTAAGAATAAAAAGGGGGCAGGGAGAAATACCAGTTATCTCTAATGCCACTATTATTATAAGTGGTTTATTTTCTTTCTGGATTTTTTCCTACATGTGTAGATACAGCTATATTTTATTTTAAAAGTGGATATGCGGTTTAGTAACCTACTTTTCTTCCCCTGATTTACAAGCATTTTGCCTGCCAATACAGAAAACAACTCAGTGAAAAATCATGAATTGAGCTTGTTGCTGCCATTTCCCCTCAAAGCCCAACAATAACAGACTCAGGAAGGAAAAGCTTACTCAAGGAAGGAAGAGCCAAGAATCAGAATTCAAAATCTCCATAACTTTATGGGTATTTTCAAATGTTCCACTGAATTGGGCCTGAATTCCATTTGCTAATTTGTAGAAAGCAGGTACTCAGTGAACAATGTGTGGAATAAATACAAAAGAAAGCACAGAAAGTGGCCATTATGGTCCCTTCTGCTGCAACAAAGAGACTCTGTCACTATGGGACAGACTAAGGACCAATATTAGACCACCATCATTCTAACTACCTGCAACATAACAAGTGTTCTCTGGCTGATACATACTCTGGCCTGTGTCCTTGTGGGCCCCCTTCTAACAGTAAGAGTAGTGAGAAAAAGTGCCAACATGCTCAGAATGACATTTTGTTTACACACTCTATCACCACCAGGACCGTTTAGTTTCAGTAAAAGGAAGATATAATGTGCCCACAGCAAGGTGAAATTCTTATACGCTGAAACATTAACAAACAACTTATAAAACACACAGAAGTAAAACCTACTTGTGAAAAAGTTACTGTCAAAAAGAAGCTTAATTGTCAATGAAATATGTAAGAAGCCATTCCTATCCTTGACTATTCTTTCCCTAGCATTTTTGAAACCCTTTCAAAGTAGAAGGTTTTTTCCACATGAGCATCTGAAAGGCATCTACTCTGGGAGGGGCTGCCTTACCTACTCACAATACTGTGGGTTTTAGCATTAAAAAAGGATATTTCCTGTCTTTCCAGGACAGAATGCACAGAATGACCATGTATGCAGAGCGCTGTACTCTTTCAGCAACAACAGAACAAATGCGATTTCCCTTGAATTAAAAAAGTTGCCAGAATATTCTGGCAATACACTAACTCTTCCTTTTTGTTCCCTTGCTCTTCAAGAATGCTATAGCAACTAATATTCAACTGTCTTTTAAAGGGCATTAGGTAACATTACTACAATATACTGTGTGTTTATTCTTACTTACCCCAATAAATACAAGTAAGGTAAACAGTTCCAACATGGAGAGTTCACATTGTATCTCTTTGTTACTTCTGGCCATTTCTCCCTTCTTCAGATGGTATTTGTTTTGCTGCTTCACGGGTGCTGAAACTTATTTAAATTCTTTTCTTATAATTTCAAAGTCTGCAAATTGGCCTCAAGGAACTCCTAAGACTTACCAAGAATATAAGATGCACCCAATCAAGAGGATAGTACCCAGCGTAGTCACCAAGTTTTCATCTCTATATAGGTCCTGACCAAAGTTGGGCACACAAATGGTAACATTCTTCCCATGTTCATCCAGAGCTTGTACAGAAAACAAAGTAATAAGAGTTCAATTAGAAAAGCCTATTGTAATTCACAACAGCATTCATTTGGGGAAAATTCAGGTAACTCTAGTGTGATTCCTTAATCATTGGAACCTTCTACTGTATCGCCAAGTCTATTCAGACTAGATTTTTGTTATTTCAATGCACCACTCTTCCACATTGGCAAACACTTGGAGCGAGACTCTCACATTCCAGATTATTGCTAAAGGGAATAATTGAAGAGACTTTCTCTTTTTTAGTACTCTTCAAACAATACTGAAAAGAAAAAGTCAGATCCATTTTTCACTTGATTTGGGAGCTGCTGAAGACAGAGGGGCAGGGTGCTGAGGCCAGTCACAACTAACTCACAGGAGCAGTATAAGCCTCCTGGCCCAGGCTCCTAAACCAGAGAGGTCAATTTATGTAGGTAACACAAAGGTCCTGACCTCTTTTGGTCTATAACTTAGGTCTGAACTTTGAAAAAATGTGAAAGGCTACATATAAAGATTTCTGTAAGTGGGGCCCAGTGTCACCCACCTATAATTAATTCCAGCAGCTCCCTAGGCTGAGGCAGGAGGATCACAAGTTCAAAGGCAGCCTCAGCAACTAAGCAAGGCACTAAGCAACTCAGTGAGACTCTATCCCCAAATGATATATATAAAAGGGCTGGGGATGTGGCGCAGAGGTTAAGCAGCCCTGAATTCAATACTGGGTACTAATGAGAAAAAAAAAAAAAAAAAGATTTCTATAACATTACCACCAGTGGTTATTTACTTTTTGTCTATCCTGCTGTGGTTTAAAAACCTCTTTATCCTTAGGCCAATGAAAATTTTTGAACAAACTATAACTTTTCTATTTAAGTGGTGCCACCTGAAGAAATAAATGTGTTTTGCTATTTTTAAGTGATATTTGCTATTTTAAAAATACTGTAAACAAAAATCCCATTAAGTAAAAACGAGATTAACATACAAACAAAAGTCCCATTAAGTAAAAACTGGAGATTAATATACAGTCATAAAAGAAAACCTGAAAGAGAAATGGATTTAAATAAACATATAGAATCAAAATAGGCCCTTTTCTTTTTTAAAAATTAAATCTAGAATAGTCTAAACTTACTGTAAGACTTCTAATTATATCACTTTTCATTATAAATAGCTATAAAGGCAATTCACAAAAATAGTATCCATATATGCTAAAACCTTCAAAATTATCATTGCCTTTGCTTTCAAAATTTAAAAGACTTCAATTTTCTAAAGAGACTATATTTACTCATTTAATATAAGATGAAACATAGCCCCAAACACACATATTCTTATGTGTTGTGTGTATGTATATCACAAGTAATAAAGGTAAGGATAAAATATAATGAGCTTGAAATCAAAAAGAAAACTTGATCCTTTACTGGCAATTCTTAGGAGTCTATATTAATATCACAGGATATGAGTGTTTTTAGCTTAAAACCCCTTTTTAAATAATCCACAATTCTACAATAGTAGCAACTAACCCTTACATAGAACCTACTATGAGCCAGGAATGGTTCTAAGTGATTGATATATATAACTTGAGAGCATTCTCACTAAATTCTTAAAAGCACTCTAATGAACCAAACTATAAACCCAGGCAGTCTGACTCCAAAGATCACACTAACCACTATGTTCTGCTGTCTCTGTAAATAAATGTCATTTAAGATGAGCAGTTGAGGTCACCCACCAACAAGTGGTGGATCTGGATTAAAATCCTGTATTCTGCTTCTTTCTCCTGCCATATCTTTCCATTTTGTCTCTGTTACAGAGAAATAAGCTCCTAAAGAAAATTAATAACCAACTAGAAACATAAATAAAGCAAAAAAAAAAAATTCCTTGAGAACAATACAGCAGCAAAATACAAAATAGACTAACAGCAAGAAGACCCAGAAGAAGGAATTTTCATTATAGCCCAAGTCAAAGACTTTGTTTCTTGAAAAAGTCTAGATCATCATCTTTGATTTATTGAATCTTGGATATTTTAACAACAGCTCATGAATATATTCACACCACAGACACGTGCTTCTAACAAGGCTGGCTTACCTACTTCTACAGGTTTGCTAGACAGAGCTGAGAAAGTGAGGTATGTGACGTAGCAGCTGATGAGCCCTGACTGCAGCAGCCCAGAATGTGGCTGACCTAGAAAATGACAAGAGACAGAGTGAAGATCAGTCTTAATAGGCCCCCTCCCCCTGCCCCAGCCCCAATTACATTCTTTCAACTTGAAGGCGCACCTCTGGGAGAGAAAAGACATATATAATGTGTTTCCCATATAGAACTTAAAATTCAGGGGGAGGGAGTTATACACCCAGCCTAATGCTGCTATTTCAGACATGCCAAATTCTGCCAAGTTCTCCACCAACACCTTATCAAAGTTGTAACTATCCATAAACACACTGCTTAGTTCCCCTGAGGTTTATAACTTTAGTTCTTAAACCACAAGATCAGGAAAAAAAAAAAATTACCACCATTATTTTGTGACACCACATAATTTAGCAGAGTAAATAAGACAGATTTCTCAGGGTGTGCATCCTGGATGATTCTACAAGATTATTAGATACTCTGTAGTCCAAGATGGCAAACCCTCCCACCCCTACACACACACACACACACACACACACACAATACCTTATCTGTCAATGAAAAAAAAAGGGGGAGTGGTGGGGCACACTAAATGAGTACAAAAGATAGTCCAGGCTAAAGAAGAAAGGTATGAGGCTTGATATTCACTGGGAGAAGAGTTTTAAAGTTATAATATTTAAATTAAAACTTTGTGTTTGGATCATTCAGAGTAACCAGTATGTGCCAAGGGATTTTCTCTTTTTTGGTAAAATTTTCAACTATCTGTTGACATGAAAATATTCAGCCTTCCCTCTGGTTAAATTTGTTTCCAAAATGATCATTCTTGAATTATAATTATCCATAAAGGTATAGAAATAGACTCACTTATAATATTGCTCTTTGGCCTGAGAATAAGACCTGACTTAGCAACTAATGGCATTAAACCAAATATTTCAAAATGTTAAACCTATTTCAAAAGGTAGGGTTTAACCCAAAAGAGATTTTAATCTAAACGCCAAGAGTTTGATCACTGTTTTAGAAAGGATTCAAGTGGGCTGCAAACTTACTGTCCGTATTTGTCTTTTCCTACCTGGAAATCTGAATGTCCTATGCATGTGAAACATCTATACAATGAGATCACTACAAGAAACACCAGACCAGGAACATCTCTCTAACCCAAAGAGAAAACATCAGAGACATCAGAGGTAACGTACAAATGACAATTCACACTTCTACTTTCTGAAGCAATTTTCAAACCACGTGGCCTATTCCTTTGGGGCTTTGAAACACCCTAAGCAAGGTCAGGCTCCCATGTTTCTGCTGACTTCCTTGAAGAAGAGCCTGGGCCTGAGGAAGGTTAGCTAACAAGGCCAGCTGCTGCCGGGATAGGAGTTCCTACTTCCTGAAGCCTAGACCACACTGTCCTTGCTATCTCCACAGCCTTGTGTGAAAGATGACCCCAGAAACAGCTCCTTCCAGAGCCCATCACCTAAGTTTCACCCAGAGGTCACAGACAAAACTCATAAACAACTTGCTTAACATACTCTAAGTACACTTCCATTTAAAGCCTCCTTCATTAAGTTCATTAAGTTTACCTTTTTGGCCACAGGTAAACCTGGTTATCACAGGTACAGAACATGAAGAGGAGACTGGCACCCCATCCCTCCTACTGCTGACCCATCTACAGTAGGTTAAAGAATGGCCCTGGTTTCACAAAACCCCACTGAGTTTGTTCAAAGACATTTAGAAACGTGGAAGAAAAGAAAAAAAAAAGTGTGCTTACGATTCTGGACACAGGGTGAGATGGCTACCATTGAAATAAGCAGGCACAGGCCTCCGTTTAATCCCAGGATAATCTTGTTCTCCATGCAGCCGACTTTCTGTGTGTAAAATACTGCCATCACAATCAAACCCCCGACGGCAACAGAGTACATGATGAGAGTCACCAGGGACAGAGAGGCATACCACAGCTTGTTACTGGTGGTGCCTGCAGTCCTGTTTCTCCAGGAAGTGGGTAAAACAGAGGAGAGAGAAGACAAATCAGTGAAGACCTCCACTCTTGCATGTTTTCCATCCCTCGGGCATTAACTAATGCCACCAAGTCCCATCAAGGCCACCATTCCATGTCAAGAGACACCTTTTAGCAATGATTATGCTCCATCACAGCTAGAAAGTTCCTGTAAATATGTGAACTTCTTGGTTCAGAGTAGGAATTTTCTCTAAATACTGAAAGAATTTCATTTTCTGATTCAAGTATACTCATGGACTGGGAAGAATACCCATAGAGTTTATTCTAACGTCTCTACTCTACGTGTGAAATGTCCCGGCACAGGTGCTAGAAGTGTTAAGGTAGGAGGCAAGGGTGGCTCTTCCCTGAGGTTCTCTTCAAGTTTCTCTATAGATGTAGAATCCAGATCTGCCACAGTTGCTTGCTCCAAGAACTGTCAGCAGCTCCGCTAAGGTAAAGCCAATTTGAAGCAAGTCTGGCTGGCCCCAGCTCCTTTCTCGCTGTACTAAAAGGAGGATTGGCAACTGGATTGGAAAATAATATCAGAAAATATTAAAGAAGAAATGGGCATTTTTAAAAAGTAAATGCAATCAGGCAAAGAAAAAATTTACTGGTATGAACCATAAACAAACTCCTTTGAAGAATTAATGCTATATATATAGTATTAATAAAGAGATATGTACATGTGTGGGTAAATATATATATATATATATATATATATATATAGTATTAATAAAGGGATAGGAAAAATAGATGGTTTAAATTCACAGAAATTATTTAAAACAAAGAAGATTGTTTCTAAATGCTGAATGGAGGAGAGAACATCAGGGTGACTGGATTGAATCACTGTCATCTGCCTCATGACTCAATTCCTCTCTGTGACCACATTCTCCTGAACTGTAACTCAGAAAGCAACTCGCTTAACGTTTTCATGAAACTGGAAAGTGTTCAAACAACCCAGCTAAAATTTTTAATGATGGAAAAGTTACTGCTGCCAGAGACAAGGAAAACAGGAAGGAAAGGCCAAAATGATAATGACCATCGTATTCCTGAAACTAAGCCAGGAATGTCACAGAATTATTCAAACATAAAAAGCACATGAAGGAAATGAGAGAAAAGGAGACTCAAAAAAGGGGGGTAAATTACAGAACCAAACAATAATGGAAGGACACAGAGTGAATTATACATAAAAAGGTGACCATGGCTGACTGGTATGTGGGTAGGAGGGTCTGACTTTTTCTCCACTAGATGTTATTTGTATATGAAGAATTTTCTTATAGTTTCAGATTTATATTCCCAAAGTTTAATCTTCAGCCCTAACCTGTCCCCTGAACTCCAGACTCATATTATTCAATGTCTCCACTGAACGTTCTGATTGGCATCTCAAACTCAGCATATCCAGGCCAATTTCCTTGTGTGTGCGCCTCCCTCCCCCAAACATGCTCACGTGCAATCTTCCCAGTCTCAAAGAACAGCAATTGCAATCTGCCATTGTTGGGAGGAAGGCAGGGCAGAAACAGAATAAAGAGTTACAGTCACGCTGGACTTTCCCTGCCCCTCCCCCACACCAGAGCCATCTCCACTAGTTCCATCTTCAGATTATACCAGAATCCAACTGCTGCTGCCACCTTTCTCCAAGCTACCTCCTTCTCACCTGAATCATCACCCAGGGGCCTCCTTACCTGCACCTGTGACCCTCCCTGATCTTAAAAACAGATTAGATTATATTCCTCACCTTCAAAACCCCTGGGAGTCCCATCTTACTTAAACACTAAAACCCCTAAAGGCACAGCAATCTGGCCCAGAGCCGGCTATGATTTCATCTCCCTCATGCTTCCTTTACCTCTGGGTCCCAGCCATGGTGGATGCCCCTTTGCTCCTTAAAGGCATCCAGCAAGTTTAAGCTCAAGCTGAGTCCTGCCCCAGGCTCTCATTCACAAAAGGATAGCCTGCCCTCCTCTCCCAAGCCCTCTGCAGCTTTATTTTTCACCCGTGTACCTATTGCCTATTTGCCTGATTCTGTGTTGATGTCTATCTCCCCTCAGGACAATATTAAGTTCCACAGGACAAGCCCCGGTTGTATTCCCTGTAATACTGCCACTGTCAAGAATGATGCATAGAAAATGATAGGTGTTCACTTCCAAGACTGTCACCTGTTTTTAAAAATCACTTTTGGTGGTAATCTTAACAGAGAGGCTGCTATCCTGCTACTCCAACTTCATTTGGTCCTCCTGATGTCCTCTTGTTTTTGGAGACAGCCCAAATAAGGACTGTGATCTATTTATCTTTATACTCTCCATGCCAACCACAGTGCTTTCTGGCACACAGTTAATACTCTGGCTAAATGCAAAGCACTGAGATGGAGAAAAGAAAAGAACCAGGCAACCTTAGCAGCATGCGGGCATCAGGCTGGGATGTCAGCAGGGTTCCGGCTTAAGGTAGGGTTAAAATTAAACTAAACCAGGAGAGTGAATTTAAGATCAGTATATTTAGAAATATGTGAATATACTACCTATTTGTACAAAATTGGAGCTAGAAAAACATTTTTAAACATCTAGGTTAACCCATCACATTATTTTACAACGCCTAAATCAAGGTCAGAGAGGCCAAATAATCGACCTAAAGTGAAACTGCAAGCTAGAGGATGAGGGACACTAAAATCTGCATTCTCCTGCTTCCAGGTCCATGGCATTTCTTTCTCTTTCTTTCTTTTTTTTTTTTTTTTGTGGGGTGGGGGGATACTGGGGATTGACCTCAGGGGTACTTGAGCCACATCTCCTGCCCTATTTTGTATTTTATTTAGAGACAGGGTCTCACTGAGTTGCTTAGCACCTTGCTTTTGCTGAGGCTGGCTTTGAACTCAAGATTCTCCTGCCTCAGCCTCCAGGGCCGATGGGATTACAGGTGTATGTCACCACACCAGGCCCATGGCATTTCTATCCTCCTGCTTTGGGGATCTTCTCCTTCTGAATATATTCACAAGAAACGAAACTTAAATGGAAATGGAATCATCCCAGATACCTGTCAATGGATGAATGGATCAAGAAAATGTGGTACACACACACAAATGCCATAATTTAATTGTTCTCTATGAGTTTTACTCATCCATAAAGAACAATTAAATTATGGCATTTGCTGGTAAGTGGACAGGAATGGAGAATATTATGCTGAATGAAATAAGCCAGACTCAAAAAGTCAAGGGTCAAGTGTTTTCTCTCACGTATGGAAGCTAAGGCAAAGTAAGGGAAAGAAGGCAGGGGAGGGGGTGTGATTGGGTGTCAGAAAGACATAGGAAAGATCAGTGGAGTAGAAGAAGGAGATTGGGCTGGGGCTGTAGCTCAGTGGCAGAGCGCTTGCTTAACCTGTGAGGCCCTGGGTTCGATCCTCAGCACCACTTAAGAATAAACAAATAAAATAAAGCATTCTGTCATCCACAACTGAAAAAAAAAAAAAAAAAAAAAAAAGAAGAAGGAGGAGAACAACAGGAGGGAGCAAGAACCGGAAAGGGGAAAAGATACAGAATGAATGTAACAAAATCATGTTATATGAATATACCACAGGTAATTTCACATTAATGTATATGTAGAAAGTACCAATCAAAAATAAATAAATAAATAAACAAGCGAAAGGAAGATTAATTGAGTAGAGGAAGAAGAATAGGAGGGAGGGAAGGAAAAATGGGGGAAATAGGGATTAAAATCAAATTCCAGGTGCATATGATTTTGTCAAAATGAGCCCAACAATTGGGGCTGGGGTTGTGGCTCAGTGGTAGAGTGCTTACTAGCATGTGAGAGGCACTGGGTTGGATCCTCAGCACCACATAAAAATAAATAAATAAAATAAAGGTATTAAAAAAATGAATCCAACCACCATGCAAAACTATATACTCTAATAAAAAGTTTTTAAAAAATGAAAAGTACTTTTGTTGTTCTATCAGAAGCATATTTTCTAGGTTAACCTTGTAAGAGTTTCTCTTTAAAAATACAGGAAGGCAGGTGTGGTTGCACACTCTAGTAATCACAGCAACTCAGAAGGCTGAGGAGGAAGGATCACAAATTCAAGGTCAGCCACAGCCCCTTAGCAAGATCCTGTCTCAAAATAAAAAAAAAAAAATAGGAAGGGCTGGGGATATAGCGGAGTGGTAAAGTGTCCCTGGGTTCAATCCTAGTACCCAAAACCAAAACAAACAAATAAAAAACCCTGGGTTTGATCCCAAGGATTGCAAAAGAAAATAAACAAAAAACCCAAAACCAAAAAGACTACTATATTAGATAGATATAAAAGAAAAGAACAATATTAGTAAGCTTCCTATCTTATTCCTAATCTTAGGTAGACAAAGCAACTACAAATGTGTTGACAAAAAGGGTTTTTGTTGGGATTTTGGCCTCAAAGTCAGGGTAACAGCAACATTATTTGTTTCAAAGCTCTTAAGCTATTCTTACTGAGTAGTTTCTAGAAAGTTTTTTAAACAACCAAACTCTTCCAAAGTGCCTGTTAAAATCTGGCATCAATAATTGGTCCCAGGGCTGGCGTTGTGGCTCAGTGGTAGTGCGCTCGCCTAGCAAGCGCGATGCCCTGGGTTCAATCCTCAGCATCACACACAAACAAACAACGGTATTGTGTCCAACTACAACTAAAAAATAAATATTTAAAAAATAATAATAATAATAATTAATCCCAGAAAATGGTTTCGGAATCATTGAAGTTAGAGTGAAGAGGCATAAGTATTCTCTGAGAAAGGCTATTTTATGGGCAAATCAGGTCTTCAGTCTTTAAGATGCTAATATTTTACCATGAAGTACCCTAATTTTAGAATGACATGCTTATTTTATCTTTAAAAAAGTCACAGTGAAAGAACATACATCAAGAATTATTGGACCAGACAATGGTGCCGCACACCTATAATCCCAGCGGCTCGGGAAGTTGAAGCAGGAGGATCAAGAGTTCAAAGCCAACCTCAGCAATTTAGTGAGGCCCTAAGCAACTCAATGAGACCTGTCTCTAAATAACATACAAAACAGGGCTGGGAATGTGGCTTAGCGGTCAAGTGCCCCTGAGTTCAATCCCCAGTACCAAAAATTTTAAAAAATAAAGAATTATTGGGGAATGATATTAATTAATTAAAATGCATTTCCAACATATTATGGGTGTTTCTTCTGTGCAGAAGAGAAAATAGAGAGATACAGGGCTGGGGATGTGGGCTCAAGTGGCAGCGCGCTCGCCTGGCATGCGTGTGGCCCGGGTTGGATCCTCAGCACCACATACAAACAAAGATGTTGTGTCCGCCGAAAACTAAAAAATAAATATTAAAAAAAAAAAAATTCTCACTCTCTCTCTCTCACTCTTTCTTAAAAAAAAAAGAAAGAAAGAAAATAGAGAGATATAAAACTACAGTTCACCCATTTGATTTGTTTTATAAGAACTCTATTGCCTCAAAACAAGATCTAGGAGAGACCACAACATGAATTACTAGGTTTTGAGGAAGACTAAAAACACAGAAAGCATGCAATGACTTTACAGTATGACTCAACTGGGAAATCCATATAATTGTAGAGATTAAGACTTTAAAAAATTCTAAAACATCCATAGTGCTGTGTGTTTTGACTATGTAGTATGCTGTAAACATTTTAAAAACTGGACTTATTTGACTGTGTTTAATCTAATATTTACCAAATACTAAATTATTGTTTTAATTTTTATGTGTATGTGTGATGCTGGGGATTGAACCCAGGGCCTTGTGCATGCAAGGCAAGTACTCTACCAACTGAGCTATATCCCCAGCCCATAATAAATTATTAACACTATCTTTTTACTGATGTATCCCTGCAACCGTATCTCATTATCTGATTTTTAAAATACAAAAGCAGAAGAAAAGAACAACTACCAAGCCGAAGAGTATATTCAAAATAAAAAAATATTGAGAGAATTTGAACAGTGTATTTGTTTTGCCTTACCCAAGTTAAAAAAAAAAAAAAAAAAAAAAAAAAAAAACTCATTCATGACACTTTCTGATTTTTTTTTTTTTCAAAATTCAGTATAAAAGAAAATGATGCCCACAAAATCTACAAAAAAATAAACCCAAAATCTTATTGGGTGTAAGAAGGGGTTATTTTGGAAGCAAAAATAAAGTAAAACCAGGTGCAGTGGGACACACCAGTAATCCTACATACTCAGGAGGATGGTTGGTTAGAGGCCAGCCTGAGCAACTTAGTGAGACACTGTTTCAAAATTTAAAAAGGGCTGGGGATGTAGCTCAGTGGTTGTGGCCCTGGGTCCACTCCCTAGTGTACAAAAAAAAAAGCAGTGGGGGTGTGGGGACCTGCAAAGAAATTAAGACAGAAAGTAAAAGAGAAAGCAGTTAAGCGCTTGGTCCAAAATCAGAGAGAAAAACAAAACACCAGAATCACAAAGAGAATAAATTTGGCTTTAGAACTTGGCCTGTTGATTGTCTGGTTACCATTTTGGGGAGATACTAGGGATTAAACTCAGAGGCACTCAGAGGCACTCAACCACTGAGCCACATTCCCAGCTCTATTTTGTATTTTATTTAGAGACAAGGTCTCACTGAGTTGCTTAGCTCCTTGCTTTTGTTGAGGATGGCTTGAACTCTGAATCCTCCTGCCTCAGCCTCCCGAGCTGGTGCTGGGATTGCAGGCATGTGTCACGATGCCTGGCAAAACACACACAATATTTTAAAAGGAGAGAAATAAACTGACACATGCCAATAATCCCAGTGACTCAGAAGGCTGAGGCAGTAAGGACTGCAAAATTTGGAGGACAGCCTAGGCAACTCAGCAAGACCCTGTCTCAAAATAAAAAATAAAAAGGGCTGGGGATATAGCTTTGTGATAGTTGAACCCCTGGATTTAACTCCCAGTACCAAACAAACAAACAAAAAAAAAAAAGAAAAGAAAGAATGAGACAAAAAAAAATACTATATCATACACTTTACAGAAGATGAATCTTCAGCTCCATAGTAGTTTGTTTTGTTTTTAATATTATAAGGATAGAAGCCTAAGATAAAGACGAAGTCTAACCATGTTTAGAGCCACCACAAAAACTGCAGAGCTGGAACTAACAGGTACCAGCAATGGGATCAGTGTGGCTAACTTACATCACTGGTTGACAAGAGAGTCCAGGGGAAAAGAACATCAAAAAGTGGGAAGAAAATAAGTGTAAGAGGAAAGGGCAGAAATGACAGAAAAATAGTATTGGTAGCTTAGTGGCAGAGTGCTTGCCTCGTACCTGTAAGGCTCTGAGTTCAAGCCCTAGAATCACACACAGGCAAAAAGGGTGGGTGGGGGCCATGTTGGAGAGGTCCAAAGCACAGATGTGAAGGAAACGTGCTGGCACAGATTGTTTTTGCTGTAAAGAGACTGCTCATCTCATGGCAGAGCCTTTCTCAGAAGCAGGCAGTTTCTCTGAGTCAATGAGCGAGCTGGCTTGGAAGCTTTTCATAAGAGCACATACCAGTTTTTGTTCCATTTATGTGCAAACTCCACAATCAGAAGGAGCTGGATACCTATAAAGATGAAGCCTCCGAAGGCTCCCACGTAGCGCCAGGCTGCAAAAGAAGACCGCAAGGAGCCAATGAGAAGCACTCCGTGTGTTCAGTTCAAAAGAAAGAAGTAATTTTCACTGAATACTCATTGTACCTGTGACACATTCCGTTCCCACACAATCACATAAGGGGGGTACTATTATTAAATTCTCTTGCTTTCCAGATTTAAAAAAAAAAAAACAAAAAACTGAGAGGCTGTGTGAGTTAACAAAGGCTCAAAGCCAGTAAAAGGCACAGCTGGGATTTGAACACAGGCCATTTGGCTCTGGAGCATCAAAGCTTACGCTCCACACTAAACTGCCAGACACACTGACAGATGCAGTCATTCACACTATCCACAGCGGCCCACAATTTAAAAGCAACGACACACATCACCAGAAAAATCAAGGGCTTAATTCTTACTGGCTAAGGAGTCACCAGTATCCAGGGAGGAAATGAGGTTCAGACTTGGGGGACAAGAACTGAGCTCTCCTTTTGGCTCTGCCAAACAGAAGCTATGACCTTGGGTGAAGAAATATGTCACGTGGGCTACAACTTGTCCGTGAAAACAACAGAGCTGAGGACTGCTGGGTCTCTTCTCATTCTAAATATACTATCCTAAACATGCTCAATATACATAAAAGTAACTCTGGAGAATAAAACCTAGCTCTAAAAATCTACAGATAAAAGCAAGACTTGGATACATATTCTTATGAAAAACTAGTATGATCCTAAAAATTTAGGTGGACCTATCTGAGGGAATTGGGCTGTTCCTTATGAACTGGTATGATGTGAAAGTTTTTAATATTTTAATTTAGAAAAGTGAATCCATTTGAGTTGAACAGAGTGTTTTGAACTACTGAGATTCAGGGTCCCCAAGCCCCTTCCACCCTAGCTCCTATGGAGAAGGGGGCCCTGTTATAGCTATGATTACAGGCCTCGTGTTAAATGAATTAGGTGGGTTCACCAGGTAGGGTGGCAAATGCCTATATTGCCTCAGCAACATGGGAGCCGAGGCAGAAGTTTTGCAATTCAAGGTCAGCCTGGGCCCTGAACTTTAGCCAGACCCTGTATCAATTTAAAAAATAAAAAAGCTCTGAGGATATTGTGGTAAAGTGCTCCTGGGTTCAGTCTCTGGTACTAAAGAAAAGAAGAGAAAAAATAAAAAGAAGATGTTTGGTGGGGTTCTGTCAATAAGGAACCTAACTCGATGGAGGCTTAGAAACAGATTGGAGGTGCTGGGCACAGGGGTGCACACCTGAAACACACCTGCAACCCCAGCCACTTGGGAGACTGAGGCAAGAGGATCACAAGTTTGAGGCCAGCCTCAGCATCTCAGTGTGACCCTGACTCAAAATAAAAAATAAAAAGGCTGGGATATAGCCAATGGTAAAGCACCCTGGGTTCCATCCCAAGTACAGACTAGAAGATGCCTTCTGTATCCCACCTCCACTGCTAAAAGGCTCTGTTTCCTGTGCACTACTGGAGGAGAGAGGTCTCTGTGGGCTGGTGGGGTCAAGCTGACATGCCAAACAGGTTTCCAAACAAATTTTAAGTGACTCATTTTCCCTTCAGGCCAATGACCTTAAAATAATCATTTCAAATCTTCAGCCAACAGAGACACAAAGGTCCTCCTAAGAGTGCCTGTAAGTGGGGGGCAAGAAGAGGTGCAGGAGATCTAAAGTGTGGGCAGGTAAGGCTAGATTGATTGATTGATTGAGGCCACAAGAAAATCAGTAGTTCAAAATATCAAAGGCCTCCTGGATGAGGCCTTTGAACAATTTCACTAAATGGATAAAAATAAATAAATAAACAGGCACCCCCCAACTCCCCATTTGTACCTTTGAGAAAGGTCTCCTGGTCTGGAATGAAGAAAGCTCCTGAGCACATGGCCCCCAACAGCAGAAGTTTAAAGAACCAAAAGCTGGGAGGGAGGAAAGGAGAGGAAATGCATTTAAATGATATTCAAAGGAGAACAAAAGACCTCTTGGAAGGTGGCATGTCAACCCATGATTCTGCCATTGCTAATGTTCTCTCCAAATCGAGGGGAAGTAATTAAGTGACTGAAGAATGCCTTTTCTCATAATTAGACACGCTTGGAACAGCCTCCAATTGTGCAAAACACCACTTCATTGCAGGACTGGAAGTGACCCAGAGGAAGGTCTTAGTACAAGAAATAAACTCTTTGCCTCCATTGACTTTCTCATTATGGTACCAGGTGTTAGAAACAGCATTCTGACTGTAAGGCCACTGGGTAACAAACAGAAGTTGTACTTTCCTCAAAATCAGGATCAACTATAGGAAGAGCAGTTAACATTGTCAGGAGTAGAAGGGACCCTGGAACACCATCCCTAATATAAGGAAGGAAAAAGCAACCCCAGGGAGACTGAGGACTTACCCATTGTGAATATGGGCTCTGCAGCTTTTACTGGTGTTGATTTTCAAGGTCAGCAGGCAGAAGAGAAAGAAGAAACACGCCATTCCAAAGCAGACTCGGTACACTGCAGAGTACCCCACCAGCGTCTCACAGGTGTCACCAGCTTTAATGCCTTTGCAAATATCTTCAAAAAAAGGAATCTGAGGGAAAAAATAGTGTAGAAAAGTTGTCTGTTAAAATGGGGTTAGAAAAGCTAGGATTAGTAAGTAGCGCACACCTGTAATACCACCTACTCAGGAGGCTGAGGCAGAAAAACTGTAAGATCAAGGCCAACCTGAGCAACTTAGCAAGACCCTACCTCAAAAACAAACAATAAAAAAGGGCTGGGGGTGTAGCTCAGTGGTGAAGAGGACCTGGGTTCGATCACAGGCCAGGAGTAGCAAGTGTGGGGATTGGGTCAGATAGGGGACTCAGGGAATGTTCATTCAGACTGAAGTCAAAATCCACTGTGGAAATGAATCAGGTATGTAACAAGATGAAGATTGAGGAAGAAAATCTTCCGGAGAATTTTTCTTAATTTTCTCTGAATCCTTTTTTAAAGATGCACTCTCAAAAGTACGACTTAGGGGGCTGGGGTTGTGACTCAGTGGTAGAGGGCTTGCCTAGCATGTGTGAGGCACTGGGTTGAATTCTCAACACCACATATAAATAAGTAAATAAAATAAAGGTCCATCAACAACTAATAAAAATATTTCAAAAGAAAAAAAGTACCACTTAGCTTTTACTTGCTCCAAAGGTTTCTGAAGTTTAGCATCAGAATTTTCATTACATTTGTAATACGTGATTATATTTTTATTGAATGCACAAATATAGGGAACAAAAAGAGAGAGATTACATTCACTAACACCTCATTCTTCTTGGGAAAGTAAACAATCTCATGGATAGGAGAATTTTATTAGTTCACATATATAAAATTGTGTATATGCATATATACAACACACATATACATTCATCTGATCCTACACATATGGTAGGATATATATATATATAATACATATATATACACATATATAATATATACATATATAATACATATATATAATATATACATATATAATATATATAATATATACATATATAATACATATATATTATGTGTATATATGTATTAAATATACATATACATATGTATTATATGTGTATCTATAATACATTTATACACATATATAATATATACATATATGGTATATATAATACATATATACACATATATTATATGAATAGCTTTTTAAAATAAAATATTTGGGCTAGGGATGTAACTCAGTGGTAGAGAACTTGCCCAGCATGAGTGAGGTCCTGGGTTGGATCTTCAACATGGCAAAAGATAGGAAGGAGAGAAGGAAGGAGAGGGAGGGAAGAAGGATAGGGAGGGAAGAATGAAGGGAGGAAGGGAGGAAGGGAGGGAGGGAAAAAGGAAGGAAGGAGGGAAGGGAGGAAATATTGTACATGATGTTCTGTGGTATTTTTCCCCAAAATTAACAGTAAGTCATGGAGCTCTTTGCCTGTTAATATATGTAATCCCACCCCATTTTTTAAACCATCATATTTTATAGTAAGGCTAGATAAAGATGATGATCATTCCCACAGTGACTATTTTTACTGTGAAGGGGTTTTTGTTTCATTTTGTCTTGTATATTTATTGTCTGCTATTACAGACACTGGTTCAGTACACATTGCTGGACATGCCTCATTGCAGATCTGCCATTATTTAGGCAGCTTAGACTACTGAGCTAGAAATTAGTGGGTCAAGTGGTATCTACATTTTAAAATTTCAAGACATAAAGCTAAATTATCCTTTTAAAAGGTATAACAACTTACAAAATCTTCCACAAAGAGAACAAGTGTTACAGGGCTGGGGTTGGCTGGGAAACTGAGGCCATGCTCCCCGCTCCAAACCCCAATTCTTGCGATCATGTCAGAAGGATTTCAGACATGTTGCTCGGAGTAACAGGCATGAATTTATTAGAAAGGGAAAAGGAAACACTCTTGAGAGAGAAAGCAGATCTTCAGAAAGAGGGCTGGAGCGCCCCTCCTGCCCTCTGTTTGATTGGGAGTCCCAGTGTTAGCGGACACAAGTGCAAATGCTTTCTTTGCCAAAAAATAATTTATCTGCAGTCCTGCCTGGCCTAAGGGGGAGATATTTGTGACCCTTTTTACAGACCAGATCTTGAAACTCAGGGAAATAAGGATAATTCTTCCTAATCATAAAATCTCTAAGAATGTATGATTAAGAATCCAATTAGAATCTGTCAGAATGGGCCAAAGTGACCTAGAGTTGTCATGGCAGTCAAGACTTAAAAGTCTCATATCACCCTCCTGTCAGTCAAAAGTCAAGAGGCAGACTTGGGCAGGACTCTCTGGAAACTTCTCTGGGATCCCCAATAAAATTGGAGTACAGGAGAGGGCCCACGATCTCCCTTGAAAGTGTCCCCTTTCCCTTTTCCTATCCCTTCAATAAACTCAGGCCTGTTACCCTGAGTGACGTAGGTGAAATCTTTCTGACTTGAAGGCAAGAACTGGAGTTTGAAGTGGGGGGGATGTCTTCATGCTGCTTCAGTTTCTTAGAAGGCCCCAGCTCTGTAACACCAGGGAAGGTTACTGAGTCCCGCCCAGGCCCATCTGACCTCTGACTGACAGCACAGGAACTATATGGGCCATGTCCAAGAGAGAATGGTGTGGCGCCCATGGAGCAGGAGTTTTTAAGGAAATTGGGTCATCCTGTTTTTGCCTCCATCCAGCTCCCTTAATTGGTTCATTATCCTTGAATAGCCCTCACCATGTTTTGTGAGGGTCTTGATGTTTTGGCCACTAGGGTGATTGGGGGTGACTGGGGGTTGTGACATAGTTTAGGTAATAATGGAGAGTCCTGGACTTGGTTACAATAGATCATGAAGTCATGGTCATTAAGACTGAGGGAGCTTTTACCCTATCTTCCAAGTGTTTGTTAAATGGGCCACTGTGCGACTTCAGTGGCCCTTTATTCTCTTTTCCCTGCTCTCCCAGTCATGGCTGCGTAGCTCCCTACTACAAGCAGCACACTTTTATGAATATCATAGAATAACGATTCAGTCAGTAGTTGAAAAAGAACTTGCTTCTAATCAACATCAAAGGTGATCCCTCTTCAGAACAGAAAAGGAGTTAAAGATCACATTGTAGCTGCTCGGTTATTCATAAGAAAAAAATACAAATGTCACCAAGGGAAATTATGACTCAAAAGCTGGAAGTAAAATTAAAGCATGAAAGAGAATTTAGTTTCTCCTCCAGAAAAGCACTTTAAAACAATAACAAGCAAAGATTTTTAAGAATAAGCCAGGCTAAGTTAAACTGGCTTTGGAATAAGAATTCTCTCCCCCTAAAAAGGTCTGAATTTGAAACATTTTTCCAAACACTCCCAAATAAAAGGCTTGGGCAGGAATACATTGTGTCTCAGACCCCGTTAGTATAGCTCTATTCTCATGAACAGACCTGAAAGACGGTCAAGAAATGTCTGATGTTTTGTTCCCAGAAAATTCCTAAAACTGCAAATATTTTTACAACAGAGCAAAATGGAGGCCATAAAGAGATGTCATTGTATTTATTTGAACCGGCTACTGTGGTTTTTTTGTTTGTTGTTTGTTGCTATACATGACAGTAGAATGTATTTTGGCAGAATATGCATATATAAAGAATAACCTATTCTATTTAGATTCCCATTCTTGTGGTCATGTATACAAATGCAAGGCTAGGAAATCATGATGAATCAATTCTACTGTCTTTCCTAGTCCTCTCCCCTCTCTTCCCTTGGTCTAATCCAATGGATTTCTATTATTCCCCTCCCCAATCTCCCTTGTTTGTGGTTAGCATCCACAAATCAGAGAGAACACTTTGGCCTTTGGTTTTCTAGGATTGGCTTATTTTACTTAATATGATATTCACCAGTTCCATCCATTTACCAGCAAATGCCATAATTTCATTCTTCTTTATGGCTGAGTAATATTCCATTGAAAAAAATATACCACATTTTCTTCATCCATTCATCCATTGAAAGATACCTGGGTTGTTTCCATAGCTTGGCTCTTGTGAGTTGAGCTGCTATAAACATGGATGTGGCTGTGTCACTGTAGTATGCTATTTTTAAATCCTTTGGATATATGCCAAGGGGTGGGATAACTGGGTCAAATGGTGGTTCCATTCCAAGTTTTCTAAGGAATCTCCATACTTCTTTCCATAGCGGTTACACCAATTTGCAGTCTCACCAACAATGTATGAAAGAACTTTTCTCCCCACATCCTTGCCACCACTTATTATTACTTATATTCTTGATAACTGCCATTCTGACTAGAGTGAGACAGTATATCAGAGTTGTTTTAATTTGCCTTTCTATAACTGCTAGAAATGTTGAACACTGTTTCATATATTTTTTGACCAGTCATATTTCTTCTTCTGTCAAGTATTTGTTCAGTTCCTTGGCCCATTTATTGAGTTATTTATTTTTCTGATGTTAAGTTTTTTGAGTTCTTTATATATCCTGGAAATTGGTGCCTCATCTGAAGTACTGGTGGTAAATATTTTCTCCCAATCTGTAGGATCTCTGTACATGCTCTTGATTGTTTCCTTTGCTGTGAAGAAGTCTTTCCGTTTGATACCATCCCATTTATTGATTCTTAATTTATTTCTTGCACTTTAGGAGTCTTGTTGAGGAGTTAAGGAATTTGATTCCCAAGCCAACGTGATGAAGAATGGGGTCTACTTTTTCTTCTAGTAATTGCAGGGTCTCTAGTCTAATGCCTAGGTCCTTGATCCATTTTGAGTTGAGTTTTATGCAGGTGAGATATAGGGGTTCAATTTCATTCTATTGCATGTGGATTTCCAGTTTCTTCCCCCCCGTACAAACCCTTAAAACAGACTGAAGTAGGGGACCCCTCTAAAACTGAGAGCAACTTCCTCATGCTGGAGTGGAGGCTGAGGGGCTGGCCCTGCCCAGAGGCCAAGATGGCTGAGAATGGAGGCTGCCCCCATCTTGCTTCCCCAAGCTGTCTAACCAGCCGACCAAATCTGCTATGTCCTGCCTGATGTCCCATTTTGCCGCCTCTTCTCTTTTAAAAGCTTTCTTTTTGTCTCTGAAGATGGAATTTTTGAGACAAAAAGATTCTATCTTCAC